ACTTTAGGCAACGTGAGTTGTATTAAATTGTGCTATATAAATAAATAAACAACAACAACAACAAAAAATCGTCAGATAATGTCCACCGGTGTGTCGCCTGTACTGTCACACCACAGGACAAATATGTCACACCAGAGGACAAGGTCTCTTTAAAAAGCATTTTAAATAATTAAATAAGATTAGTTTAATTCAATTTTATTCTTTTTTTGATAATTTTCAGTGTTCTTAAATGCAATAATTACATTAATTAAACTATGTTCTGATGTTTTTGCAGATAACTTGTACTGTTATAAAGTGTCTATAAAAAAAAATAAAGTGTCACGTGAATTAAATGTTTAACCGTTATTGCTTTAATAAAGCAGATGGACATTTTTTTTGTTGTTGTTGATAAACAGGAAAGTGTGTCCAGCTGAATTCAATTTGAGTTTTGTTAAACGAATAAAAAGAAGCTTAGTTTACCGCGGAAGCGGTCGCGGCTGCGTTCGTGGTAAGACTGAAGAGTGTAAAGACTATCGACCCTACCGTGCGACTCCACCGGGCAGGGACACCGGCAAAGGATAAGTATCGCTTTTTATTTCTCCTCTTTCCTACTACTTGTTTCACTTCTGTTTCAGTTTTTTATAACCATTTCTTACTATGTGTCAGTAAGTTGTTGTGTAAATTTATTCATCGCACAGACCAGTTTTTTCGTATATACATACGTATATGTCGCACTGTACAGTCCTGAATATATATATATATATATATATATATAGAGAGAGAGAGAGAGAGGTGTGGGCAAACACTGACACATATGAAGAAAACATTATGAATACAAAATGAAACATTCCAAAACCTAGACAGGATCTGAAAAGAGTGCACAGAGTAATGAATGCATTAACATAGTCTCACATATTGGTGATAAGACATTGCCATATCCTTTGATTGTGATAAATTAGTCGAATGAATGAATATATATTCTAGCCTGAGGTTCTGCAAATGCCTGTGAGGGAGCCTAATTATAGCACCCTAGCATGTACTTATGCATAATTGCCAGCTCACGCCATGATGAAGTACATTGATGGGATAAGCTACAAAGTGGAGGGTTAGTTCAGGATGGATCCAGACTGAGTATGAATGGGCAAACTCATTAATTAAAATTCAAATGCAGAGTGAGAAGGATGTGTTCTGTGGTTCTGTTTGAATATGTAAACAATGTGCTTTTAAAACGTCAGCGAAAAGTACATCTTCAACCATATAATATTATTAAAATGTCA